AAGTTGTACTTATGCATAATTTACTTGTAATCTTAAATTTTAAGTAATATGCATCAATAAACAATACTTCGTGCATAAAAAATTGTTTTTAAAATTTTTTGTCAAATATTTTATAATATAGTATAGATAGTATAGATTATGTGTTTTTAGAAATGTGCTCGCGCAATGCAGCGAGATACATCGTGATTTTAATATTTCATTTTATTTTTTATAGCAGTCGATGTTATAATATAGTTTTATGTGATTTTGAGAAAGCGGTGGTGTTTTTATTTTTGAATAAAAAATATGTTTGAAGATATCATAAAAATTTGACAAAAATATATCGATATTAGTATCAAATTAACTATTTGAAATTCCTTATTTTTTTTGTGTAATTTTTTAATCTTGAGTTTTAAGTAATATGCATTAAGAAACAGTAGGGATGGTAATGGGGCGGGGATCCCAATACCCGTCCCCGTCCCCGTCCCCGTCCCCGATCCCCCATATGTATCCCCGTCCCCGTCCCCGCCGGGGATTATGATCACATCCCCATCCCCGTCCCCAACGGGGATTTTTTTTGAAGCCTATTGAAAACAATTTATAGCAATTTTATCTATTTGGAAATACAAATCAAGGGAGAAGTAAAGAAGACAATGTCTACCTCTGCTAAGAAAAACCAGTGAAGCGAACGTGTAGGGAGAGGGAGAGCCAGAGAGGGAGAGTCAGAGACCGTCGCTCGCTGCCGCTGCCGCCGTAGCTGTCGCCGTCGCTGCCGCTGTAGCTGTTGCCGTCGCTGTCGCCAATTAGGGTAGGGAGAGGGAGTCGTAACTCGTATCGTATTGAGGACTGAGGAAGGAGTCGTCGTATCTTCAATAGGGAATTAGGGATTTTGGGTTGGATGTTGGAAGGAGACGATGAATGAGACGGGAAGGATTTCTGGGCTATAACAGGCCTAATACAATCTTAGCCTGGGCTGGACCATTCTCTAACTTAATATAATTAATAGGATAAAGCCCAAAGCCCACAATACATATATATAAAACGGGGCGGGGCGGGGCGGGGCGGGGCGGGGAGTGATGTACTCGTCCCCGGCCCCGTCCCCGGCTTGAGCCAAACGGGGATCCCCGTCCCCGAACGGGGCGGGTGGACCGGGTTACCCGACGGGTCAGGGTCTATTCCCGTCCCTAAGAAACAGTACTTTCCGCATAAAAATTGGTTTTTAATAGTTTTTGTCAAATAATTTATAATATATAATATTTTTTTTAGATAATTTAATTTTAATTAATAAAACAATTTATTTTTGGTTTAATATTATAAATTTTACAAAGATAATAATTAAGCATTCTGTTAGAATTTAATGATTATACTAATTATATTTTATACTTTTTATATTTAAAATGAAATGTTTATCATGTATTTGATTGCGTTTATCTGCAGTTAGTTACAAGAATTCA